CTCTGGGGAAAACACTTGAATCCTTTCAATAGTTGTTGAAAGGCCTTGTATACCTTGGAATCTTCTTATGTCTTAACATTTATCTTATGATGGTCTAAAAGATTCGCAGTGCAAGCACACTGGGTCCAAAAAAATATGCTCCATTTCCAGCTCTTCTTTCTTCCTTACTCAGATCCATTCTTCACTACTCACATTTTTTAAAATAATATTATTGCACATTTTCTTCCGCTCTCCTCTAGTCTACCCCACAGATAACCTCTTGTTCCAGATTGTTCTCATACATATAGCCTGTTCATATCATCTTTTTGGTTAGTTCTTCCCCTCATCTGTTCTAATTGCACTGTTCATGATTTCTGCACTCTTTGCCCATTTCCTCCCCAGCCACTTATTTTATAATAGTGGTGTTATGTAGTGTTTATTCTTTTGTGACTGAGATATTTCACTCAGCATAATGTTCTCCAGGCTCCCCCATGTTTTGTAATGTTTTATGAGTTCTTTTTCCCCCCAATGCTGTGTAATATTCCATTGTGTGAATGTATTGTAGTTTTTCTGTCCATTCATTTGTTGATGGGCCCTACTCACTTTTAAGTACAGTACAACTTAGAACAACTAACAACAACAGCAGTCACTGCACATAAAACAAGTACCCAACTCAAGAATGACTAAACAACAACAACAGAACTATTATTGAGTCATCCCAACACATGGTGACTCCACATCTTTCTTTTTTTATGGTGAGAAAAAATTATATTTAGAATTAGCCTCCTGGACTCAGTTTAGATGATCCCAGTTTTGTTGGCAACATCCAAAGCATCATAATCAGGAGCAAGTCGAACATAGGCCTTCTTCTCTTCATCAGGCCTAATCAGAGTGTTGACCTTGGCCACATCAATGTCATAGAGCTTCTTTACAGCTTGTTTAATTTGGTGCTTGTTGGCCATGACATCCACAATGAACACAAGTGTTATTTTCTGTCTTCTTCATAGCTGACTCAGTGGTCAAGGGAAATTCGATGATGGCATAGTGGTCAAGCTTATTTCTCTGGGGGCGCTCTTCTGGGGGTATTTGGGCTGCCTTCGGAGTCTCAGCATCTTAGGCCGCCAGAAGGTGGGTGACGTGCGGATCTTTTTTTTTTTTTCGGTTGCGGATGCACTTCAGGACTGCCTTCTTGGCCTTTGATGCCTTTGCTTTAAGGCCTTCGGTTTTGGAAGAGGCAGGGGCTTCCTTTGCTTTCAGTGCTATCTTCATAGAAAGCGACTCCACATCTTATAGACTCGAACTGCCCTCTTTGGGGCTCTCAGTGGCTGGGCTCTTTAAGAAGCAGATCTCCAAGACTTTCTTCCAGGTTCTTCTGGGTTGACTCAAACTTCCAACCTTTTAGTTTAGTAGTATTCTGACATTTAATACTTTGTGCTATCTAGAAACTCCTTGAAACACTAGGATAAAAAGATGTAGACACTTTGCACTTTGTTTGGTAAAATTAATCTTAGTTGCAGAATGAAATATTAACTATGAGCTATTCAATCATTTAAAGCTCCTAGACATTTGCCTTCAAAGTACTCACTGAATTCCAAGAATAAAAAATTATGATGCAGCTGAAATTTCAAGTACTCATTCTCTCTGTGTAACAGTAGAGACAGGAAATAGGAAAGTTGTATTAATTCATTTATGGGGACATGTTAAGTTGGCCACTCTCTCCTATTTGTATGTCTTCTCCTAATTTGGGTTGAAGCAAATCATGTGTTGAAATGTAGGCAGCTTGACCAAGGTAAATGATGTCAATAAGAAATGCTCAAGAAAAAAGGATATTCTTGTTAAAGGATATAACAAATAAAATTTTGCAACAACACCCACTAAAAATGTATGTGTAAACATTTGTATATATGCAAATATGTATATAGATATGTACGGATATGACTATATGGGTACATATATGCACATAAATTAATGTATCTATGGACATATATGCAAGCAAGTGTGCTTGCTTGTGTATTAATACAAATAAAACACATGGGGAACATGTGGTTATCAATACTTCTTAGATAAAAGCAAACATCTTGAAAATTAGTTTTCCAGATTTAAAGGCTTAGAACCTTAACCTCCTGAGTTAACTCAATTGATTGGCATAATAAAGTCCACATAGTTTATATTTTATATCCCGATATGATGAAGAACACCTCTTACTAACTTGTGAGCAGCCATGCCAGTTACATCTAAGAGGTAGTTATTGATCTCCTCTTGTCCAGAAGAAAACCAAAGGCTCAGAAAAGAGTAGTCATAGGGCTAAAACTACACAAACCATGGCCTTGTCTACTCTGAGACCAGAAAATCTAGATGGTGCCCAGCTAGCACTACCAGCTGTTCTGATTAGGGCCACAATAGATGGATGCTGAGTGAATGGAAGAATATGTGGAAGAGAGTTCAAATTCTTAAAATGTTCAAACTTAGTGGGCTGGTTTGGACTAGAGGCTCCAAGATTGTCGCTTAAGATACTCTTTTAGCCTTAAATCAAAACTATCCCATGAGGTCACCTTTTAGCCAGATGATAGATTGGCTCATAAAGAATACCTCTCTTGAGTAATAAGTTCCTTTAAAAATAAAATTAGGTGAGCTCTGGTGGCCTAGTAGCAAGTTGGTATACTGCAGTCCCAGAGGGGCACTGTTCAAATCCACCAGATGCTCTGCTGGAGAAGGAGGAATATCTCCTTCTGTACCAGTCAGATCTGATTTGACGGTACACACACACACACACAAAATAATAAAATAAAATAAAATTATAAAAAAATTAAAACATTTAAAAAAAATAAACATTTTTTAAAAAATCACTTCTCTGAGATTCAACCAAATGGTTGAAATACTCCAAAGTAAAGCAGACAGAGAAACCAGAGTAATGTAAATAATACAACCAGAATGGAATGATTGAGAATGACAATAGTTATGAAAAATATAACCCATAACACTGAATAATCTGAGTAGAAAGACCCTGTAAGCAACAGATATGAACCCTGTCCTGTGCCATCTTCATCGCCACTACCATACTACTACAGTCACTGTGTCATTCCATCTTGTTGATGGTTTCCTCTCTTTTTCACCTTTCCAAGCATGATGTCACAAGCATGATGATAGCCTCACCTAGAAACATGCTCACATTATCAGGTTTGTTATCTTCGCTTCCAAGGAGCACTTTGGCTGCTATTTCTCTGAGACATATCTGTTCTTTTGGCAGTCCATGAGATATTAAGTACACTTCTCCTGCGCCACAGTTTAAAGGCTTAAGGCATTCCTGTTACAAGAGATTCATATTCAGAATTTAAAAAAACATCTGAGACCCCAGTTGTAGCTTTTGAGTCTCCAAATAGTGCACCCTGAAGTATTACGCACAGACTATGGAATGAGATCAGCTTTTGCAGGGACTGACATAGGCAGGAACTCTGTTCTTGTTTTTAAGTCAAAACATAACAGAATAGTCTTATCGTAAGTGCCTCTACATTTAAATCAAGACCATTTAACATAATGAAAAGCTTATAGGCTTTGCAATCATTGTTGACCTAAGTTTTCCTTCCACTTCACATTTAGCTGTATGATTTTAAACTAGTCATTTAACTGCTTTGAATCCAGTTTCTTCCTCTGTTTCAATTAAACAAACAAAAACCTTCATTGAGAGTACAAAGTCCTGTAGTGAAAGTCCTGTAGTTCAGTGTTTGGTATACATTAACTCCTCTGTAAAAGAAAGCATTCAGACAAGTTAAGAAAAAATTGAGAAACAGCAATAAATCTATAAAATTGAATTTCCCCCAACTGCATCCTTTCCTGGCAGTTGTGTTTATAACCTAAAGAAAACTTCCTGTTGGAAGAAGCCACTGGAATGAGACAGGAACATGATTCATCCAAGCATCAGAAAGCCAGGAACTTTCCAGGCTAGCTGGCTGAAGAACGTGGAGTTCAAGCCCAAAAGATGCTGCCCTTAACAAATTCCTGAGCAAAATGGCAATGCAAACTCTGAAAAAATTATATATTGTGTTCACAAAGACACACAAGTTACACACACATACAAGTTAACAGCTTGATAAGAGCAGAGTTTCTGTTTGAAGTTTTGATAATGAACAGTAGTTAGTGATCACTGCCTAACCTTTCACTATAATTAAAGTATAAGTACTTTGAGTTTTACCCTTAAAGTGGGTTAACAGGGCATAATTTTTTTATGTTATGTATGTTTTATCAGCCAGAAGAATTAAATTAACTGAAAATTTAATTTTTGGATTTTGGGACATAAATGGATATTTTGTTTTGCTCTCTAAAGTTGTATAAACTTAAAGTATCAAAAGGAGATAAATGTCATAGTTCTCTTTACCAGAAACACTTGATTTGGTGAGAAAGAAGACTTCTTCAATTTATGTTTAATTCTAGTACACAAATATATACCTTAATATATCTGTTACACAAATAGCATAGCTTAAAATTTGAATTATTTAGGGTCACTAAAGAATTTTTAAAGAAAATGTGTGAGAGTAGTTGAATGGAAAATTTGCTCTGGACACTTTAACTAAAGGTAAGAAGGTTTTTATATAAAAGCATTTAAAGAATTCTTAGAAAGTGTCCATTGTTTACTTAAGAGAAAGAAAATTTCCTCTATTGCCAAGCTTCACATTATTCTCTTTTTAATTTAAACTACCTCAATTTTATTATTTAAGCCTCAGTATACTTTATACTATGTAAGCAACAGCATTAGTATTAAACAGCTTAGGGGATGCTATCTAAGAAATTATTTTCTTAGATTTTTTTTTTTTTTAAAGATAGTATTGAAACAAATGCTGTCTTTACTGGCTATGGTAAAATTCTGTTTGGGTTTTAAGAAACATTGCCAAAAAGTTGATCTAGATGTTGTCTGATGATACTACATTTTATTGTTAAGCCAAATTTTTCCCTTTCATTGCCTTCTAATTATTTTTCTTTTTCTCTTCCCTCCTTCCTATCTTCTCTTTCTTTCCTTTTACTTGCAGCTCCCCAGAGAAATTTTGAAATTGCCTTCAAGATGTTTGACTTGAATGGAGATGGAGAAGTAGACATGGAGGAGTTTGAACAGGCAAGTAACCCTGCAAAGTTCTTCACACGCCTGTGTCTTCTGTGTGAGGTCAGAGCTCTGGTCTCACAGAGCCCTGCGAAGTCAGTTCTGACAAACATATAATACATCCATTTGTTTCCATATTCTTTCTTGTTGCCTTTTATTATCATTATCTTTATAACTCTGATCTTTATTCATAATCTTTGAGGGTTTGAAATAGTACATGTGCACTTACAGATATATTTTAATACATATGTTAAAAAAAAATAAATGAATCCTAAAAATTTATCACAACAAAAAAAAAGAAAGATGTTGGCATTTTGTCAGTTGTGGTAATAATTCCACTGTGGGAGGTTCTGGATCATCTGAATTATCCCTGGAACTAGAGATTATGTTTCAGTCAATGAACTAGTGAGGCTGACCTTAAACAGCCCTGTGCTTAACCACTGAGTCACCAGAGATTCTCTAAATGTTAAGGCTCTAGTCCAGAAATCAGGAGGCACATTGCACTGGGAAAATCTGCAGTTAGGGACCTCTCCAAATTGTTGAGGAGTAGTGATGTCAGTTTGATGACTAATGTGTGTCTGATCAGGCCATGATCTTTCCGATTACTAGCACTGCATCCAAGTGCTGGACAGTAAATAAGGATGACAGAAAAAGAATTGATGCTTTTGAGTTATGGTGTTATAGAAGAGCACTGAACATCCCAAGGATGAAGCTTTGCCTCACTTACTATGGACATGTTGCTAGGAGGTACTATTCCTTGGAGAAGGACATGATGCTGGGAATGATGGAAGGTCAGCGAAGGAGAGGAAGGCCCTTAACCAGGTGAATTGATACAGTGACTGCTGCAATGGGCTCTTGGGTATCACAAAGTGTGAGGATGGCGCAGGATTGAATAGGGTTCAGATCTTTTGTTCATAGAGTTGCTATGAGTCGTGCTCAACTCAGTGGTACCCAAAAACAACAACAATAGCAAGTCATCTCCACCCATCAGCTTTTTCCCCCTCATCCTGGTAAGCATGTGCCAAAGCCAGTTAACTCATATCTCCTCAGTTGAACCTGGGAGATGAGAGAAGAGAAGCATAGATAGAGGCTAGATACGTAGGATAAAGCCCACATCAAAGGCAGGCAGTAGTTAACAGTACTGAACCAGCGTCACTTTCCTGGTTTGTAATGGATTATGGCCATGTAAAATATTTTCACTGGGGAGAAGGCATCTGGGAGCTTTCACTGTTACATATTATAACTTCTTGTGAGTCTAAAATTAACTGAAGAAAACAGAAAATAAGTCAGAGCTGCCTGTATATGGTCCTTTTCTCATAATATGTTTGACAGTACATCTCACTGCTTCCCTAGCCTGCCTACTGACTTTAGCAAAGTGATCACCATTTCAGTCCATGTTTTCAGCTGCTGGTTTAGTTTAGAAAATACATCAGCTAATCCTTTAACTATAAACGCTTAGACAAGTTTCCTCATTGTTCTGTGTCATTCTTTCTTCTTCAGCATCTCTGTCCTTTTCAAAATCCATTAAATCTTGATGTGTTAGTTCCCTTACTGAGGTCTATGGTCTGTACACATCTGGTGCTTAGATTCTAAACTCAGTATTCTTACCATATGGAAGATTTTCCCACCAGCCTCTTTGCATCATATTATCCTGATCAAATGCTGGGAGCATACTCACATAACTCAGAAAGTTGTTTCATTTGCACCCTGGCAACATTGTTTAAATTACATCCTCCCAAGAAGATAACACTATTTCATCTATAGAGCAATCTTTCCAACAACAACAAAAAATATCATAAAATTGAACATGGTCCTGTGTATATTACATATCACTAACAATAAGATGAGGGAAAGCATGTATGGTCCTAAGTGTGTTATATTGTAACTTGAGTAAACAAACCATTAGCCTGGGGCTAATGTGTACATTACACATTGTCAGTGCCTCAGAGGGGTTTTGGCCTTGATCAGTACGCTTTCTTTTTTATTTCTAATTTTTTTTTTATTATTATTACTATTTTTGTGTGCGTGTACCGTCAAATCAGATCTGACTGATACAGGAGGAGATTGTCCCTCCTTCCCCGGCAGAGCATCTGGTGGGTTCGAACCATGCGCCTCTGGGATTGTAGTTGCAGTTCTTTGCCACTAGGCCACCAGAGCTCCCCAGGTGCTTTCTTAAAGACTGAAGAACCTAATGTATCATCTCAATGTTAACCTTACTTTTAATGTGGATGGGCTCCCCTCCTGCTCTACAGTGTGATGATTTGAGCAAATTATTATGGCCAAGGCTGCTGTATTGTTGTTGGTTGCCTTTGAGTCAAGCATGATTCATAGCGACCCTGTGAACAAAAGGACTGAAATACCTCTAAAACTATCGACATTTATCAAAGTTCATAGAGTTTCCGGAGGCATGTTGTTTAGGAAGTGTATGCCACTCCTGTTTCCAAACCTGTCGTAGAATGTTATTGTTATGTGCCATTGAGTCACCTGCAATGTATTGCAACCCTGTGTACAGCAGCTCTGAACCTTTCCCTGTTCTAAACCAGTCTCACTAATTTCGACATACCCCTAATAACATGCTATATCACCCTCTAGTTGGGAGGGCTATTCAGTCATACTAGGGTTCATTCATCAGTCAGTTCCTATATACTAGGAATTCCAGGATACAAGAGTGAATATGTTCTGAAGGCATTTCTGTGACAGAAGGAGAGATCCTGTCATACTTTTGTCAGTAGATCTCAACCATGCAGGTCTCTGAGTCCTCACTTGTATTTCTTTAGACCGTTTATTGAAGGACCGTGGTTCTTTCCCATATATAATTATTATGGTATCAAGAAGGAGCTTAAGAACAAAATTTCCTGTGTAGGAGAAGGCATTTTTTGCATTCTCTAAATAAGGAAAGAAGCAGATAATGTGGAAAGCAGGAAAAATATCAGCTATAGTGTTCTTTGAAGAGACACACTGCACAAAGATAAATTCCCCTCAGATAAACTGACACAGTGATATTTAACCATATTTACATTTAACCATATTTGTCACATTTAACATTTTGCAACCTGAATCTATCTAACACCTTCACTTTTCCATAATCTTTGATTTTACTGATGTTACCAGAAAGCCCCAAATAATTATAAAGAAAATGAACTTCTTCCTTTATCACTCCATCTTTCTCCGTCAGTTTTAGTAATGTACTGAAGACTTAGCTGAAGTGGTCTTACTTTTAGTACTAGAATGAAAACAATTGTAACACATCAAACTCTTTCAAGTTTAAGACGCTGGACTTAATCCTTCTGAGATTCTATTTACTCATTAATAGGGTCCTTGGATTTAAAGCAAACTTCTTTTGTCTTACCTTTGGTTTTACCTGGATAATTAATTGTTGAGTTTCCCTAAATAAAATCTAAATTACAACTCTCAGTCTAACATGGCATATCTTTCTTTTTCCCGAATATGTTTGTTACACCTACATCATCTGATTTATTGGTCTAACATTGTTATAGCATCCCCTTATTTTTACTCTAGTAAGAACATAATCTTTAACAGTATTCCTTCTTCTGTGTCTGTATTATTTTTGCTCTTTTTCCTTTGTCTCATGATCAGTTTAATGAGAAATTTATCAGAGAAATAACTTTGGATTGTTTGTTTTGTCTATTCATAATGTCCCAGGGGAAGAAACAATCTCAGTATCCATCAAGAGACTTTTTTTAAATGTAGCATATACATGCAAGGGGATATTCTTTAACCTTCGTGCATCTGATGCATGCTCCAACATGAATTCCTTTTATAAAATAGTATATGGAATGATCAGATGAAAAACAATGTGAATGAAAGAATATGTGAAGCACAGTATATATGAATGATATAAAATATAGATTGATTTTGTATGCAAACCCATAAAAAATAAAAATGGTTGAGTTCACATTCATATATTATCATAATAAAATTTTCTTTTTTATTTTCTATTGTTGTTGTTATGTGCCGTCGAGTCATTTACGACTCATAGCGACCCTATGTACAACAGCCTTAAACCCTGCTCTATCCTGTGCCAATCGCATTGCCTCTGACATACCCATCCCGATTACCCCAGTCACTGAATCAGTCCACCTCATAGAGGGTCTTCCCCTCCTGCGCTGTCCCTCCACCCTACCAAGCATGATGTCCCTCTCCAAGGACCTGTCTCTCCTTACAACATGTCCAAAGTATGTCAGACAAAGCCCCAGAATCCTTGCCTCCAAGGAGTAGCCTGGTTTAACCCTCTCCAGGATGAATCTGTTTGTTTGGCAGTCCATGGTACATTCAATACTCTTCTCCAGCACCACAGCTCAAAGGCATCAATTCTCCTTCTATCCTCCCTAGTCATTGTCCAACTCTCTGATGCATAACAAGTGATTGCAAAGACCATGGCCTGTATCAGGTGCACCTTAGTCTCCAGAGAGACACCGTTGCTCTTGAGTACTTTAGAGAGGTCCCTAATAGCAGACTTTCCCATCGCGATATGTTTTTTTATTTCCTGGCTGCTGGTGCCAAGAGTGTTGACTTGTGTATATACTGTTTTATTTTTGTACATGTTGTTTTTCACAGTCCTTCTTTTACATTGTGTTTCATACAATCTTTGTTTTTTAAAATGAATCACGATAGATCTATACCTGCTATTACCCTGTCTTTTGAGGTCCCTGTTGGATCCTTCTGATTCCTTCATCCTCCTTTCTGCTCACGAAATGATTTCTCACCTTCCCACTTTAGCACCCCCTCTCCTCTTTCCCCTTCCACTCTTGGGCTTTTATCCACATCTTACTACTTATCCTTCTATTTTTACAATTAATGGTCTTAGGCACTATGTGTCCTTATGAGACTGAGTTAGTTCACTCAGCATAATGCTTTCTAGATTCTCCCATGTTATATACTCTTTTACGAAGTCATTATGCTTTTGTGCTGCATAGTATTCCATTGTGTGAATGTACTACAGTTTCTCAATTCATTTACTAATGGGCATTTGAGCTGTTGCCATTTTTTTTGCT